GACTTGTATAGCTAAAGTTTCTTCGGAAAGAATTTTTACGGAAAATTAACAAACGAACAGAGACGTAACATTATAATACATTTCATTTTCAGGCCTACTGAATGAAGATCAGCCTTTGGAAAGCATTTGAGTTACCAGGTTTATTTTTGAAACTATGTGCAGAAAAGTACAATATATAATGAAGTTGATAGACATAAATTTTGAAAACCTTTTCCATTAGTGTTTTTTATAGTGATAATTTTAATATATTTGAGTTTTTTGTTTTGATTTATAGCTACCAAATACTTCTGAGCTGACATCTGTAGAGAATCTGAGGTGTTACCGAGAATAATTATCGCTGTGTGAGCTGTCACCGAGAGTAATTACAGCTATGTTCATTATTGATTGTTTTTCCTCAGCCTACACAATGATTTGAGAACAAGAAAGTCGTCTACGCTGCATACATATCATAGGATCAACCAACGAATGCAAAGCACGTTTAATGAACAGGCTCCAGCAAGCTAAAACCAGTTGTTTTGTTATGAAAGACTGATCTCTATTAGTTGTTCAAAAGATTCCAGGCTTTTTTCGCATATCGAGCGTACACTACATGCTCATCTAACAAAATTTCAAAGCCGCTAAATTTGATAAGAACGGACCTTGCTTTATGGAATTTAAATGTGATAGACTATTAGAAAAGGTGTCGCTATACTATTTCATTGTATATTCTATTGATCAGTACATTGGACTCCTAATCTCTTCTTTAGTACTTTTTCACGTCACGTGAACAGTCAGGGGCTATTATGTATATTGCATAAGCCATGTTAGGCTTAACTCCGAATTATGTCATTTTTAGGTCACCTCCAGGAACGAAGTGTTATCTATCTACAAAGCAACTGCTATTTCTTATCTTTAGGCTGCTTGTATACGTAACTTATAAGGTATACTAAACATTTTCAGAATATAAAATATATTTTTTGAATAAAATTATTTTGTATTCAGTAAACATTAGATTTATTTAAAATCGTCTAACACGTACAATCAATCTTAACTGAGCCATCTCTAATAAGTTAAAACTAAATATTAATTATTAGCCAAATTGTGGTTGTGACTAACAAATACTAAATATTAAAATTATGTTCATTTTATGTAGAAAAGGGAATGTTGTTGTAATTTTGAACAGAAATTAAATGGATACGAATTTTTCTGCACAATGATATTTAGACTCGTGCATTTTCTGTTTGGCGGAATATAAAGAAGTAAGTAAATCAGGGTGATAATCTTAATCAAATCCAAAACTGTTTTACCATTCAGAAATCGCTCGAAGAAGCAGTGTAAAAGGTAGAAAAGTAATTTGCTGTAATTAATTATACTTGCCACAATATATTAGTATTATACCTAGTGGGCTTTTAAGAACTACATTTTTTTATCTAGTCTCTTAGGAATTTTCAAGAATTAGAAGAATGTATAAAAATAATTGTTTGTTTTGAATTTCGCGCAAAGCTCCACGAGGCCTATCTGCGCTAGCCGTCCCTAATTTAGCAGTGTAAGACTAGAGGGAAGGCAGCTAGTCATCACCACCCACCGCCAACTCTTGGGCTACTCTTCTACCAACGAATAGTGGGATTGACCGTCACATTATAACGCCCCACGGCTGAAAGGGCAAGC